TAATAAGGGCCTAGTTGAGTATCTGTTTTAAAACAGAGAGGTGCATTATAGCTGTTAAATCTAATGGCAACTGACCGTGACAATGAGGCACGCTCTATGCACTGATCTGTGATGGAATGGAAAAAAGATAAAGTAAATTAAGTTTAATTTATAAGGTAAGATCAAGGGGGGGAATGTTAGGTTGATCTCCACCAAGTTGGCCCAACGGTCAATTGGGTCCTTGATTCGCGCCCTGATCGGGGGCGTCCAGCCGTTCTTCTGGCTGATGGGCCCCCGTCGCGCAGCGCAATAAATAGGAGGTGGAGGCTGGGGCTCGACGTACGAGGTTCACCGCAACCGTCAGCGCTCCACCGAGGTTCCTAGCCCTAGTCCGATCTAGAAGGACGCGCTGTGAGCGACGGGAAGCACCACTGCCTTCACCGCCGCCTCTGCACAGCGCCGGACGTCCACACCGCCGCTGGGACGCCACTGGAGCGCTACCCCATCACCGATCTTATCACCGACACGTCGCGGCCACCTTGTTCGCGGCGCCACCACCGTGACTGCCTTTTGGTGAGCTATATCAGCAAGTCCCCTTATCTAAGTTATGTTTTTACCCGCTGATCTATGTCTAGATGGTCCTAGAAACCTATCAGGAATACCTCGGCGCGGCGACGGAGACAGTGCTCGCTGTGCTGGAGTGGACGCTGGTGAACCTGGTGCGGCGGTCGGATATCCAGAGCTGGCTTCGCAGCGAGGTGGAAGCCGCCGTCGACGGTGAGGCGTGCGCGTACCTACGGGCAGTAGTGATGGAGTCACTGTTGCGGCACCCGCCTTTTCCCTCGGTTCAGCGGCACATGCGCAGCGACGTGGTGGTCGGTAGCACCACCGTCGCGCGGGGTACTTTGGTCAATTTCTCTCTCGAAGATATCGGTAGAAATGCCAAGGTACGCAAAATTGTGCCATGCAAAACTGCCAAAACATGCGCCGGCCCTCAATGCCAAACTATCACATTCCACTTCCCCGCCCTCAATGTCAAACTATCAGAGCATCTCCAAGAGACTCTCAATATCCTTCCAAAATGGTAGGAATAGATAATTTGATAAAAAAACTACCCTCCAACAACTTTTCTAAATGACCAATCCAAACATAGCCATCTTATATTCCAGATTTTTCGCTAGCCAAAAATAGAAAACGAGAATAGCTCTCTAGAGTGCGTATGAGATATAGAAAAACTGTTGGAGAGTGAAAAGATATAAAAAGCGATTTTTATGCAAATAGCTCCGCAAATGATTATTTAGAGTGAGATTTAAAAAGGCTCTTGGAGCTAATAAATTATACTCCCTCTATTCAAAATTATGTCTTTTGCTTTTTTTAGATTCATAAATATAATTATGTATCTAAACATAAATGTATATCGAGGCTATGCAGCTAGAAAAGCCAAAACGACTTACTACAATTTAAAAAAGAGTGTAAATTATCGATTTTGTGATTTGAGTGTCTCAAGGCAATCAAAATATTTTAATGGTTATGTTATACATCAAGTAGTGAAACGGGTGGGTCAAATTTTATGCCACTATTACGTATGTACCAGTATAGTATATAGGCAAGGTCCATCTTAGTTCGGATACATTTTATCCAACTAATCATGACCTAAAAATAACTGATAACACTTTTTTATAAGTCCGTGCTCATCCACGTTCAAAAAGAAAACTACAAGTCAACGGTAGGCTCAGGGCCTATTCGGTTAGGCATTCCCGGCTAGGAACGGCCAGGAACATTTTTAGCCCAGTACAAAGTATGGAATGATTCCATGTCCGAAACAGTTCCAGACTATTCCAGGCTCGAAACGAGCAACTTTCGTCGAAAGGAAATGGTAACGTAATGAAACAATTCAGACAGGATTGGTCCGCTATATATTTTGAAGGGCTTGTTGATATATAGACTTTCAAACGAGAACTGAATAGTTTGCCGACTCCAACTAGTCCAATTGAACCTGATGAGAACAAAGTATAACAGTTATATATTACACCTTGTCATTTTGTCTAACTATAGTTAAATACCATGTCCTTCAAAATTCAATAGATATGGACATCTCCAGAAGAGTTCATCCCGGACAGGTTCATGCTGGCGGGGAAGGGGAAGGCGTGCGGTTGACCATCGGCAGCAAGGAGGCAACGAAGGTGATGATGCTGCCGTTCGGGGCCGGACGAAGGATCTGCCCGGGGATGGGATACGCCATGCTTCACCTGGAGTACTTCCTCGCGAACCTGGTCACGGCCTTCGAGTGGCGTGCGATTGAAGGGGAGGAAGAGGTGGATCTCAAGGCGGACCATGGGTTCTTCACCACCATGTCCTACCCCCTGCGAGTACGAGCTGTGCCGAGGGCTCACTTGCCATGACGGCGCATACTGTTCGCTTGGTCTCCAATCATTGTTGCGTAAATGTGAGCTACAATCACCAGGATTCTAATTCTGGACGCCTGGGCCAGGATGGGCGGTGATGATGTGCAGAGAGGCGTCCGTCCAAGCAAACAAAAATGTCCATATAATAATGCCGTTGTGCCATCAAAAATAAGGTCGAGGATCATATGTGTTTTAATGTTGTTTTCAGATTGGTGTTAGTAATAATAATCATAATCCATAAAAGTACATGGCGGAGAGTTTCTAGCCAATTTAATGAAAACTATGTTATATTGGCGTATATTTCGAAGTGGTAATGCTGGTAAGCGAGCGTCCGTCCGCCGGACGCGATGTCAACCCAACAACCCCATGCTCCTCCGATTTCTCAAAAAAAAATCTGCTCCACTCAGTCCTATCTACTCGTTCCTATCGCTCATATCCCGCTCATTCATATCCACTCGTTTCTATCGCTCCTATCAGGTCGCCTCCTGCCAGGCGCGGCGCGCGGACGCCTCCGAGGCGCCATGCTCGGCTACTGGCCCTGCTAGAAGCGGCGCACGGCCGCTCTCTCCCAGTCGTTCGTCCGCTACCTCCCCACCACATCGCGCAGCCGATGCCTCCATTTCATGTCGTGCAGCCGCCACTGGCCCACCGCCTACAAGTGCCGCCCGGCCGCTGCCTCCGGTGAACTCCACACACCGACGAGTCTCCATTCTCTCGAGCAGCAAGGAGAAGTTGCGCTAAAGCGCATGTTGCAAGCGTATGTTTCAATTGTTTCAGATGTTTTAGAGGTATGCTACAAGTGTTTCATATGGATGTTGCAAAAGTAGATGGAGATGTTGCGCATATTGTAATGGTTATACACGTATATTGCAAGTGTCCGTTCCAAATGTTTCTCATATGCTTTCAGACGTATGTTGCAAGTATGCTTATTTGAATGTTACATATGTTTCACACATATATTGCAAGTGTTTTATCTGGATACTTCATATGTTTTGCAATGACTTTTTCAAGTGTTTTCATGTGTTTTTTGCAAGTGCTTGAGACGCATGTTTTAAATGGTTCATTTGTCTTTAGAAGCATATTGCAAATGTTTGATCTGGATGTTTCAAAAGTAGATCGGATGTTGCTGCTGGGGACCCACCTGCTGCAGCCGCTGGGGTGCCACCGCGCTGGTGCAAGCATTCGGGCGGGGGAAGCACAAGGGGTGCGAGTGAGGGGTCGGGCGCCGTGGGTGACGTTCGAGGGCATGAAACGGAGTGCAGGCGCGGGCGCCCAGACGTGCACTACCATTTTCAAAGCGATAGAGAGGATTGATGATTATAAATCCACCTCGTCGTAGCATATATCCATTGGTTTTGGTTCTCTGTTTTCCCTCACTGCAGAAACAATTGGCAACGACGCGCGCCCTTGTTTCTCTCGTGGGATTTGCCCCTTGCTGTGTTCTTGTGTGTCTCATGTTCTTCACAAAGGTCTATCCTGGCCTAGTCACCGTCGATCATTGTTTGGTCTCAGACGAATGCTTTGCCGTTGTTGTCTTTCCTCCCCTCCCTGGCAGATACTTTGCTGCCGAGTGTGTGCGGGTCTCTCACCTTGTAGATCTTTGCCGCCAAGGTTGCTCTGATTCTCTCGGACGGATGCTTGGCCGTCGTTGTTGCTGGTTCACCTTGCAGATACCTTGCTATCGTCGCTGTCCTGGTTCTCCTCTCTGGCAGATACTTTGCTCCCGAGCGTGTGCGGGCCTCTTATCTTGCGGATGCTTTGCGCCAAGGTTGCTTTGATCCTCTCGGGCGGATGCTTTGCCACCGTTGTCGCTGGTTCTTCGACTTCTCTGGGTGGATGGTTTGCCACTGTGACCCGTCCGCTCTGCAGGCAGCTTTTGCATTGATGTATCTTCTCACATGTTATGGCAATCGGGTATTCGGGTTGTGCGTTCTTCCCCTTTGTTGTTCTTTCTCTCTTTTTATATGTTCGGTAATCGCTTGATTACCTGAGTTGATTGTAATATGTTTCAACTCTGTTTCTTAATGAAATACGTGTTTATAAGGACACGCTAAAAAAAAGGCGCGCCCAAGCCGAGCGCTTGCCTATGCACCGAGCCCCTGCATGACGCCGGAGCGGAGCAGCGCATGATGGTTCAGGAATCACAACAGTCTGTGCATGCATGAAGTCAGCATGTATGACCATATGGTGCCAGATTCCGTTTAACGAGCCACTACTCCTAGTGAGTAGTAGGCGTATGCCGGTTTTCTCCTTTCTCTGACCCCTTCCGGCTCGCCCCTGCTCCGTCCCCCTTCCTCTTCGCCTCCGGCATCTTGCCGGCAGCTAGAGGGAGGTGGGCTGGCCCCGCCTCCGCCTGTAAATTTTCTTTTTAGCTTGCAGCTAGTTGTCCGGATGGGTGTGTGTCGCTCCCTTCCTTTATCTGTTCTTACCGTGTTGTTCATGTTCTTCATATTCACCGGTGAGTACGAAAGCAAGGTGAGTTTCAATAAAATAAATACTACTAGTACTTTCTCTTCTTCTCCCGTGCAGATCCACCACCATCCGCTTCCATCCACCTCTTCCCGGATCAGCTCGGGTCCATCTCTAGTTCGGTTGTTGTCGTCGCTCATCCAGTCGATGGCGTTCGTTCGTCTGGCTCAGTTGCGGCCCCAGCCGTTCCTCTTTGCCCCCACCGCAGTCCATCCTCTAGCTAGCAGCCTTGGACAAATCGACAGCTGCTCGTCCTCGCCATCACCGTCGCCGGTTTTGCAGGAAGCTATCCCCCCAGACTTTGGTGAAGTCGATCCAGAAGCCTCCGTCGACGGCTACATCTTCATCCTCGGTTCACCGGAGAAGTTCCTCAATGCTGGCTTCGTCAACCCTTTTCAACCGTCGCATAGCGCGATCAGTCCATCCCGGCTCCATGTGGTCGTGCTCGGCTCGCCTCTGGTGCATCCCCTAGGTGGCCTGCTCGCCGGCGGCTTCGGCGAGGTCTTCTCCATGCCTCCGTGCCACGTGGTCTTCTTCGTCGTCCTTCGAGTACGTGACGCGTGGAAGTTTACGTGTCTGGTTTCTCTTTGGAGATTTCGCTGTAATTTAGTCCTTATTTGAGGGCCATTCTGTACTTCGGCTGCTACCTTAATATATTATTATACGTTGTTGTAAAAAAAACGAGCCACTAGTATGCATATACCACTTGATTTTATTTACATTTATATATATCCCTAGCTATATGCATAGTGCAACCAATATGTGCACTCTTGTTGCTGAGATCATATACTCGGTCCTTGTCTACTCCTTCCGTTTCAAATTATAAGTTAGATTTTTTTTGATACATTTATTTTGCTATCCATCTAGATATAATAATATGTCTAGATACATAGCAAAATAGATGAATCAAAAAAGTGAAAACGACTTATAATTTGTAACATGGAGTATATTATTTTCTCCCTATCACGGTGAACGGCTGCCAGCTTCACTTGATACGACCAACCGAAGAAACCAGTGTGTTTCTATTGGCAATCGGCTTATCATTGAGCCGTTTTGCACGAACAGTATTCACGAGTCCGTCCACTGAATTCCAGCACCGACTGAAGAAACTTTTAGCTCCATTTTTTTTCGAGCGAGAGGAGGACCCCTTTTTTATAGAGAGAAGAGGACCTTTATTTAGCTCTAGGCGCCATGGATAAGTGCATTTGCGATTTGCCATGCGTTTTGAAACTTGCTGACTTGCTGCGTTGTGTGTGAGAGAGAGGAGTTGCTGCTCGGAATTCGACTTATAGCCCACTGGGCCGCACGCAAGAACAGGCTCGGGGTTGATGGGCTGCGCCGCTGCGGGTCGTCGTCAACTCCCGAAAGTGGTCCGACAAGCTATACAGTTTAAGCCCAGCCCGTTCATGTTATGAATGATTGCTGCGGACGCAACGGCGTGACCGGTGCGCCATCCTCGTGACAGGGGCGACGCGCAGTTGGTCGGTACGACAACATGTGACAACAAAAATCCAGAGACAGCATGAGTGCGCCGTTGTACCAGTATATTTATGATTGCCCGTCCGTGCATCGCGCATCACGTACTAGACTAGATCTGCTTTTGCGTCGCCATGATGCCGGGCATGACTCCGTAGTCAGTATTGCAGAACGTATACGTATGTTTGTAAAATATATACTCCTACTCGCTACGGCCGCAGAAATACGAGGACAGGTGGAGACGGATCCTAAGCTCCTAACCATTTCGTTATGTGGCAAGCAGGGCGACAGAGGCAGCAGTATTGCATCGTCAGAGAAGCAGATCATGTCACTCTACTGATAATTGCTGCCTGCATGACCGGGCCCATGACTAGCGCGTGTGGAATGTAGTGCCATGTTTAACCGGAAGGGTTTTCGAAGCAATAATAATAGATTAATACCAGTGTGTGTGTGTGTGTAGTTCTGTTCAAAAAATAGTACTAGAGAAGTGCTCCTTGGATTTGCCAGGGTTTTGTTCGCTGAACGTGCAGATCGGACACCAGACCACCTCCTCTGGCTGGACCTGGAGTCTGGAGAACAGAAACATCTGCATTTTGCTTCAGGCTGGAACTCTGGGCTGTATGTAATCTGCCCAGCCCTAGACGGAGTTTCTGGCTTTTTGCTAGCACCTGTAAATTGGAGTCCACTGTCCGCCCAAACTGAAGCAGAATTTCTTGCAGCTAGCACTGTTAAAAGTCTTCTTAAGGGCATGTTCGACTGGTATTAAAGCCGGCTGATACGCTAGCTGAAGTTGTTTTGTTGTGAGAGAAAAATACTGTAGATTCTATCTGATAAGCCGGCTGATAAGTTCAAGCGAACAGGCCGTAAGCTTGTGATAAAAAACGGTAATGCTGGATATATGACATCCGTTCGCTCAGACGGTGCCGATGGTGGGCCGCGACGCAGCCCAAACCCTCACCCCCAACTGTTCTAATTTTTTTTTAAAAAACTCACCTCACTGCTGCGCCGCGACACCTCTATGCGACCGTGCTCCGCCACACCGCCTCGGCGATCGCGCTTCCCCCTCCACTGCGCCTCCCTCTCCATTGCGCCTTCGCTCCGCCGGCTACCATCTCCTCCGCGCCGAGAGTACGGCAACCCATCTTCCTCCTCTCCACCACGCCTCTCACACGCTGCAGCATTCTCCAATGCAGGAATCCACCGCAGCCTTCTCCATGGGACCTACCGTGACCTTCTCCACCGGAGCAGCGAGCTCCACGCCACCGGCGAGCTCTACACCGGTGAACACCATGCGCCGACGAGCCTCCATTCCCAAGCAGCAAGGAGATGTTGCGCTGAAAGTGCATATTGTAAACGTATGTTGGATGTTTCAGATGATTGTTTCAAGTGTTTTCATATGGATGTTGAAAAAGTATATCGAAATGTTGCATATGCTGCAAATGTTTCAGAGGCATGTTGCGAGCGTTTGTTCAAAGTGTTTCATCTGTTTTAGACATATGATGCAAACGTTTTGATCTGGATGTTGCATATGTTTCACACATATGTTGCAAAAGTATGTTCCAAATGTTTCGAATGTTTCATTATTATGTTGAAGTAAGTGTTTTTATGTTGCAATTATTTTATCTAGATATTGCATATGTTTCACACATATCTTGTAAGTCTACGTTCCAAATGTTTTATCTACTTCGGACTTATGTTGCATTCAAGTGTTTCATGTTGCAAGTGTTTCGTGTTTTAGAGGTATGTGGTATGTTCAGAGAGTCATGGGAGCATGACCCGAGCGCTGGGCGAAGGGGTACGGCGAGCCGGGGGGCCTGTAGATGGGGCACATGGGATCCTGCGGACAAGGCGTACTCGTCCTCATCCGGGCTCCCAGGTTCCGCCCGTGCGGAGAGAGAGGAGGAGGTCAGGGGAAGGAGTGGCGGGCACAGCCTGGGTGTGCGTGTGGGGCAGGGCGAGTATCGATGTTTTGGATCACCGGCTAGTAAATTTGTATCTACGCGTCTGGCACGTATGGTGTGCTCGGAGGACACAAGGATTTATACTAGTTCGGGCGGAATGTCCCTACGTCCAGTCTGCTGCTGCTCGTGTTACCGGCACTGGTTTGTAGTGGGGTTATAAACGAGCGAGAGAGGGAGAAGTTCCCAAGTCTCTGGTAAAAAGATCGAATGGAGTTTAGTCTTGCTGAGCTTGTTCAGTCATGTGCTCATTAGCTATCTCCCTTCCAGCCATGTGCTCCTGCTTCCCCTTTTATAGGTGAAGGGGAAGGCGCAGGTTACAGAGAGAAGGAGAAAAGCGAGGGAGAAGAAGGCCTCCAGGGCCGCCGCGTCCTTCTTCTCCTTCACTCGGGTCTCGCCGACGCTGTAGATGGTGACGTGGACGGCTCTACATTGGGCTCCTGTTCACCACTGGTGCCATGCCTCGACGTCATCAGCTGGTCGTGGCATCCCATCCCGTCCCGACAGACGGCGTGGTGAATCGACGTGCCCGTCAGCGGCTATACAGTAAGTAGGCAGCACAACGACCACTCACCTATCACTGTTTGCGATGTGAACCCCCAGGCGTGGCCTAACGTGGCCATGGGTCATGTTGAGACGTGCTTGCTTCCCGCCCGGTGTCAGAAGTTTGACCCTAGGGTCGTACCTTCTGACCCGTAGTGGTTGGAGACGGTATGGGTCCTCGTCGGGCGAGACGGAGCCCACGCCCTAGGGGTCGGGCGAGACAGAGCTTGTACCCTCAGGGTCGGGCGAGATGGCTCCCGTAACCTTGGGGTCAAGCGATACGGGGCCCGTGCCCAATGGGTCAGGCGAGACAGAGTCCGTGCCCTCAGGGTCGGGTGACACAGGGCCCGTGCCCTCAGGGTCGGGTGAGATGGCTCTCGTACCCTTGGGGTTGGGCGACACGGGGCCTGTGCCCAAGGGGTCGGGCGAGACGGAGCCCATGCCCTCGGGGTCGGGCGACACGGGCCCGTGCCCTCAGGGTCGGGCGAGATGGCTCACATATCCTCGGGGTCGATCGAGACTAAAATATGTCCTTGATTATCTAGGCGAGTTGTCATCCACGGTCCTCAGATCTCTTCTTCAGGTATCCCTAATACTGATACCCGACAGCGAGGCAAATAGGGGCAGGGCAAGGCGGACGAGGGATGGACGTGCGCCAGCAGCGATGATACGGTGCAGCGGCAGGCTGAAAGGTCCTAATATGACTAGAGGGGGGTGAATAGCCTATTTAAAATCTACAGATCAATTAGAGCAATTTGATTAGTATAACAAATAGCGAAATACAAACTTGCTCTAGCTCTACAAGGGTTGCAAGCCACCTATCCAACAATTCTAGTTGCTATGATCTCTAGACACATAATTTGCTATGTCACTACTTACTAAGAGCTCTCACACTAGCTACACTAAAGAGCTCCACTAGATAAACTTAAAACAACAAAGCAAGCTCCCAATTCTAATTACACTAAAGAGCTTGTTACAACTAGTATGCAAGAATATAAATGAGTGAGTAGGGTGATTATACCGCCGTGTAAAGGAGTGAACCAATCATAAGATGAATACTAAATCAATCACTGGGAGAATACCAAAGGGCAAGAGACAACCAATTTTTCTCCCAAGGTTCACGTGCTTGCCGACATGCTAGTCCCCGTTATGTCGACCAACACTTGGTGGTTCAGTAGCTAAGAGGTGTTGCACGAACCTCGTCTATACAATTGGACACCGCAAGAACCTACCCACAAGTGAGGTAACTCAATGACATGAGCAATCCACTAGAGTTACCTTTCGGCGCTCCGCCGGGGAAGGCACAAGACCCCTCACCATCATCACGATCGGAGCCAGAGACAATCACCAACCTCCACTCAACGATCCTCGTTGCTCCAAGCCGTCTAGGTGGCAGCAACCACCAAGAGTAACAAGTGAATCCCGCAGCGAAACACGAATACCAAGTGCCACTAGATGTAATCACTCAAGCAAAGCACTTGGATTCTCTCCCAAACTCACAAAGATGATGAATCAATGATGGAGATGAGTGGGAGGGCTTTGACTACGCTCACAAGGTTGCTATATCAATGCAAATGGCTAAGAAAGTGAGCTTGAGTCGGCCATGGAGCTTAAATAGAAGCCCCCATAAAATAGAGTCGTTGT